GGGGCGGGGGGGGTGACAGGATTCTGGAGGGTGGGACCTGTGTGAAATGGTACCAGTCACCGCCAGAGCCGGCTCTTTGCAACATCCTGTGTTTCTCAAGCCCTCTCTTCTCTTGCTATGGCCAGCGTGGAGACCGGGAGATCCGGATGCTGCTGCAGGGTGGAAGGGGGCTCCCATTCACACCCCACCTCGCGTGAACAAGGCTTAAACTCTCGTGTGCAAGCTTCTGGCTTTGGGGGGACCATTTGCAAGAGCAACATAGCTTCTCCTATCCTAGCTGATTGATACAGCATCTTCACAGCTGTGAATCTTGTAATTTGGAAAATGTAGTTTGCATCTCCATTTATCAAATGTTCCTTTATTTTTGTAAAATGTGTTTTTATTGATTTCAGAGAGAGGAAGGGAGAGAGATAGAAACATCAATGATGAGAGAGTCATTGATCGGCTGCCTCCCGCATGCCCCCCACTGAGAATCGAGCCCGCAACCCGGGCATGTGCCTTGACCGGGAATCGAACCTCGAACTCCTGGATCCTAGGCTGATGCTCAACCACGGAGCCCCACTCCCCAGCCCTTCACTGAAGTTATTGACTCTTGATCATAAAAGCCTTGCACATATCTTGGGGGCAGGGGAGTTCCTTCATAGGTGTTTATGTGATGCACTGTGCTCTAGAGGTTAAACATGTGTTTTGGATCCAGACCACCAGACCACCAGAGGTCAAATCCTGGTTCCCTCACTTATTGACTGTGTGACCTTGGACAAAACGCCTAACCTCTCTGTACAGCCTTTGTTTACCCGCACAGAAGTCCCCGCCTCATCGCGCCACTGTTAGGATTAAGCGAGTTGCATTTGGAATATCGCGTGAGAAACGCAGCTCCCATTATTACAGTCTTTTGCACTTCAGCGTTTCTCTTATGTTTTCCTTTATGTTTTCCAGTGACTGATTGCTGATATTGAGGAAAGCTACTACTGATTTTTGTACAGGGTTTTTCATCCTACCACATAAGGAACTCATCAGTTCTAATATGTCTACAGATTTTTCTAGATGGATGAGTTTATTCCTGCCCAATTTGGGTATGAGGATTACGTGAGCATTTGGAATGTATTAGAACACTGTCCTTTTATTTTTCTGTCTCTGGATCGCTTTATATAAGAGTTTATTCGTCCCTTTAATGATCTGGTAGGACCTGCCTATAATCCCCTGGGCTTGATGTCTTCTTTTGTATTGTAGCTATTAAGCTCTCTTATCGGTTTATTTTATGTTATCTGTCTATTTAG